AAGCATTTAACAAATTTAAATAATTACATAGATTTGCATAAATTGCTAATAAATAGCAGTAGATTAAATGAAAAGAAAGACAAAGTGACCAACTAAAATACCGATTAAGTGTTTGAGCGATGGAGCTATTATTAGTTACACATAATGCTTTAGTTTTGTATGTGTGTAAGATTTATGAGCTTACAATTAGGAGGCACACACTCATCTACATACATACATACATATGTACATAAGTTTGTACATTTATATGTACTTCCTCACGGTGAATGGACGGACGGCCAGAGTGGTCAGGAAGATGACTTTGAATTCACGTTGACCTTGTTAGCCAGCCAAAAAGTAGTTCACTGTACAACTTCATATCACCCGCGCCTGCTTGCTCTCTTGGCTGTCACAAAACATGCACACAATGCGAGATTAATGCATCTCATTGAATTTAGGTCAGGTTTGCCGAAAGCGAAATTGCACCAAAAAGCTGAAAAATTAAAAAAAAAACACAAACAAACAGAGATGAATCAATTGTAGTGGAGTAGCAAAAGATGTGCCAGGAAAACAGGAAATACGTAACCGGCTATGGATACGTGCATGTCACAGCTTTGTGTGAGACGGTGAGAAAGAGTAAAGGAAACGAAGGCAAAAAAAGGAACCTGTACAACACGTATGCGCGTGGCAAGTGCAATATCCAGTTGTGGCATGCAGCATCACACTATGCCAGTAACCCAACGCACACGTACAAACATACTTTGCTTGCAGCGTTTTATGAGACGGATCGATGCTTTTATCATTTCCCTTTTCGTGTCGTTGTTACCAAGTAGATGTACTGCTACTCGAACATTAGACCGTATCACAGATTTTTTTTTGAGCAATTAAAAAAATATCTACATTATTTCTAAAAGTAACTATGAGATTTTCACTGGAATTAACTGCAGTATGTACTTTTATTTATAACAAAAGAGTTGTGATACAAACCTGATTTGGCTATTTTTACAGGGTGCCCAAAATAAATGTTTTTTTTATTTTTATATAATTGAAATACATACATACTCTTATAGTGAGTAGGCGTTAAAATAAATAAATAAATAAAAAAAATCTATTGGAATATTTTGTTCGCATACTTTGTTACATACACCGTGAGCCGATCTAATGTATGTACATACATACATATGCATATTGAAGGTGTGTGCACCCTTTTGTATATGGATAAGTGGGAACAATTGCATAAATTTACAAAGCATATGTGCCAGCTTTTAAGTGTCTGTCAGTGTGGTCGCTTTGAGCCAACTCGAAGTACTAACTGTACATACATATGTGTATATGTATGTATATAGTTTGAGCTCACCTGCCGAAAAAGCAAGTTAAGCGCTACAGCAAACAATAGCACGTCCGTGAGCATGAGAATGGTGCTTGTGTGCTTATATAATATACATACATACATACGCACTACATACAAAGAAACTCTTTAGTTCTTAAATGGCGTTTGCTGCTAAATTATATATAACAAAGGTCTTGAGGTGCAAACGAGTACTTATTTTCCAGAGACCGCCTGCTACTCGATATGCCCTTACCTTACGAGATAAAAGCTGCCATTAGAAGAGGCATCCGTCCTTAGTTCAGCGGGAATAAAATTACAAATTCAGTGCTGTTTCATCGTAAACAGGATGTTCTTCAAATATATCCTTTTTAAAATTTTTGGATAGGTTTCCATATCGGCGTACATTTGACAAAATAACTTCTCTCGAATGAGGTAATTTTCTCTTCAAAGCAGTAATTCATTAAGTTCCGTTATGTTATGTAAGATTAATACACGAAGAACGAAGAAAAAGATGAATTGGTATGTTGATTAAGAAAGGGTTCAAGACAAAGATGAAGAGGAGGTAAAATTAAATACTCAATGTCAATACAAAGGGGAGGGGGAAGAAAAGATAAAGATGAAGATGAAGATAAGGATAAAAATAAACATATCGATAAAGGTGAGGATAAATAGAAAGATAAGGAAAAAGATAAAGGCTTGATCTTGATCTTGACAAAGATAAAGTTATGTTATGTTGCTCACTTTAACTCACCTTAGTACGGGTTGTATATTTTTTCGGGTTTTTCGAAATTGGTTTTCGAAACATTCCCAGTATTTACGGGATTTATTCTGCACAATCAAATTTTATTTGGGGGACACTTTGGGTTCTTTCTTGGGTACTATTCGCTATATTCCCCCAATTAAGTATTCCGCATTTCTGAATTTTTTCGTGAGCGTCTGGAATTCGTTTAGGGGTTTTGCGGGAGTTTCGAGATTTTTTGGGATTATGGCGGAAGAAATCAAGGATTTTTGGGACTAATAAGAAATTTTCGAGACTATTTAAAAAATATTCGGGACTAATTCAAGATTTAAGAGATTAATTCGTGACTGATTCGGGATTACTACTGCATGTTACGTCTAGCATTTTTTTCAAGGTTATTTTTTGGGATTTCTCGGGACTTTGCACAGTTTTGGGATTAATTCTGGATTTTATGTCCCAATCATCTACGCAGTCCAAAATACCACTCAATTATCTACACATCCTTGAATATTCGAACAGTTAGCAGTTCTGCCAAAATTCTAGTTTTTTTTTTGATTCGCGGTCCCTAAAACTTTCGATGTACATTACTTTATGCTAGAAACTAATAAGCACCCCATTAAATTTTAGTTTTACCTTAACTAATACCATATACACAGGCACGGCTGGGAGAAAATTAGGTCATCGAAAAGGTTATTATTTCAGTTACATGTTTTCTGTTTTAACAGAATTTTATTTGGTTCATAATTTGTAGTGTAATGTGTAAAAGTAGTTCCTTCTAATGCCGAATTTCCATAGAGCATTGAAATAACAAAAGTTTTGCTGTTCATAAATGCAACGTGGAAACGTTATCATCGCCCGTATGCTAGAAACGTGAAAGTGTAAAAATGAAAATTTTCGGGCATGAGGGTGATGATATTAATGACTGATTTCGGAAACGTAATACCACGAGCATTTCGTAGCTCCCCATTTGGTCATAAAAATTTTCGTCATTTAATGGTCAGTGCAAATCTGGCATAAGCAATAAGTTAAAAATGAAAAGTTTTGATAAATTCAATTAACTTTTCAAGGTCAGGATGGTTAATAAACTAATCGTTGTCAGCAGGGCAATAAATCATAGCAATCACATACATATATGTATGTACATATGTACATAGCGAAAGTTAGCAAAAATTTGCAAAATAGCGAACATACTATAGGAAAAAACGGAGACACATACTTGTACATACATATGTACATTAGACTGCATCACTCCCCATACAAAAAAAAAATCGGTACTGTGTTTACATTGGAATTATAAAATCTATTATATTTTAAGACGTCCACCAAAATATTACGTGAGCTGGACCGATTTGAAAATACCTCCAAAAATGGAGTTTTTTATGAATAAAAATATTTTCTTAAAGACTTTTTTTGAAAAAATCTCCTCAAATGAGAAAAAATAAATAAATAAATTTTAAATTAAAATATAATAAATTTTGTAATCCCGACGAAAAAATCGCAACTTTTTTTGGTGATGCGCATTGAGTGCCCCTAAAAATCAAATTTTCTGATTTTTAACGCATAATATGTAAAAAAGAAACTAGGGAAATTTATGAAATTGAAAAAATGTCGAATTTTCCAAATTTTTAACCGACTTCAAAAAGGAGGAGGTTATCAATTCGTCTGAATATTTTTTTATTATTTTTTTGTATGTTACCGCATAAGTTTGGACCACGTAAATCGATTTCTATAATTCTTTTTTTTTTAAGGAAAGGTGGTACTAACTTGGTTTGGATCTGATGATTGTATCACAAAGAAATTAACGGTACTCTTAAATTTTTTATATGAGAATTGAAGTCGGTTTTGTTGTTTGTTCGTTTAGAAATTACTTGTTAAATGTTTTAACTTCAAGTTGTACTTCAATAAAAAACTTAATTAAAGGATTTACCAGGTTTAATAATGCTGGATTTCCACTAGGCATTAAATGGCAAAAATGACAAATGACAAAGTCGGACATTAAAAAATTATCGTGTCATTACATAAAAAAAATAGTCATTAGATTATTTTCCACATGGCATTTTTTTAAATGGCATACATTTTTTGTCATTTCAATGCCTAGTGGAAATTCGGCATAACAGTCTTGTTGTCATTAATTCACAAATTTCAAAATTGTTTTTGTGTTGTTGTGAATCGCTATAAAAGTTTTTTAAACTTTATACAGTTTATGAAATTATGACAATATGACATCTTAAATGTATAAATTTTTTATGACACAATATAGAGGGAAAGCATTCGCAAATAATTTATCTCCGTATGTTTTTGGAACACCCTTATGTATGTTCGTAGAGATGCGTAACATAATGACTCGTTGAAGTTAATTTATTTCTTATATTTTTGCTGCTTATTTGTGCTACGGATCATTAATAATAATTATCAGTCAGATATAATAAATATTCTCTTCTCCGTTGCTGTTGGTTGAAGTTTTTCTTCGTTCTTATAACCACTGCCCGAAGACATTGAAATAGATGGTGTCAAAGCAAACAAATAATTTAATTAATTTACTAAATTAAATTAATTAACACCGCGCGAGCTTCTCACTTTTTCACTCAGTAGAGGGAGCCGGTCCGTTGTATTTTAGGATACTTTGAAAATTATCCCTGGGTTTCCTTATTAGTTGATTAGTAATACCCATTTATCTATTTAACAATTTTTTAATAATAACGATTTTTTATTGGCATTGCATTTTTCGGTGTTTTTGGGGGTATCTGGCGAACCCATAAATTATAGTTTTTATGAAAAAATGGTGAAATAAACAATTGGGTATTATTTTTGGCAATATCCTGCAGAGAAACAGAGTTCCGATCGAAAAATATCGATTTTTAAGAAGTCTATACCATTTCTACGAAAAGTTGTTCTTAAATATAAAATACATGAAAAACTTTGCGCACTTTGAGCGATCTTTAAAAATTTTTTGATTTAAACAAAAAAAATAAAAATAGGGGTATCTATATGTTTTCAACTTTTTGGACCTTCCTAATGGACATATATTCTTAAACTTGATAATCTGGCACGATGAAGACCCTTTTTTTGGTCACTTGTAATAAAATGTTTCATTTCAAAATGGATTTCTCGTGAAGTGGGATACATATACTATATGTGTATGTACTTATCTAATACATAGTCGATCGTATTTTATTAAAGAAATATTCTATGTTTGGAAAATACAAAAAAGTTAACTTCAAATGGCCTTAAGGCAGTATCACACGATTGGGAATTTGCCCAAAATTTGGTGCAAATCTTGTCCCAATCGTGTGAGTCCACAAATATTTTTCTTTATCCCAATCATAAAAAAAAGTTTAAAATTTTTTAAAAGAAGTTCGCTGTGCAAATCTTGTGATACTGCCTTTAGACGACAAGAATAAAAAGATTTGCAAACCGACAGTGAGATTTGTACTGTAATTTTCATAATATTTTGGTTAACTCTGTCGTCTGTTGGGAAATATTCATTTCCTGTAGGTACATATATGTATATGTATGTATTGGGGTACTTCACCAAAATGCTGCGGGTTTTCCAACAGAATTATAAAATTTATTGTACTTTAAGACTTCCGCCAAAATGCAAACCTTTTAACTTTAAAATTTTCTATCAACTGAGGTAATTTTTTATAAAAAAAAAATATTATTGAAAACTAATTGCATAAAAAAAATTGATTTTTGGAGGTATTTTCAAGTGGGTTCAGCTCACGTAAAAATTAGTTTTTCCACGAAATATTTTGGTGGAAGTCTTAAAATGTAATAAAGTTTATAGATTTTTTTCTGTATGGAGAGTGATGCACCCTAATGTACATATCTATTAATGTACATTTGACCACGTCAAGCAAAAAAAAAATAAAAATCCTACAATGCGACCTGAATAAGACTCAAATTTTAGCATTTGGTATCGTAATGATCCTCCATGAATCTCACCTCTCTAGGACAATTGTAAGAGATGACACCGCGAACATTTAGTTTTGTCATAGGAATTACACCTAAGAATTATAGAAATTGATAACCTTCCTCGTTTTTGTGAAGTCGGTTAAAAACAGAATTGCGATGCTGTTTGTGAGGCAAATCAGATAATGATTCTACTTAGCTCACTGCAGCAAAAGCACTGAATCACCATAAAGATCGCGTAGGTATGCAACTTAATAGAGTGTTCGCATGAGGCGATTTTCCAGGCAATTTTGGAGGCGATTAGTTGAGTCAAAAGTTGGATGCACCCTAACTTAATTGGAAGCGCTTAGTTGAAAAGCCGTTCACACCAGGCGATTTTTGCTTTCAACTAAAAGTTGCCTGTAAAATCGCCTCATGCGAACAGCGTATAACATTGTGGCTGGTCAAGGGTGAGGGCACCATCACTAAAGCTACATACGGGCACATATTCAACAACATTCTTTGTTATTTTTTTATTTTTTTAGTGTTGAATCACTAGAAGGGCATGAATTCATTATCGCGTCAATATGCAAATTAGTAAGTGGAGTGGGTTGGAGTATCAATTGCCACGTATCTTGCATTGTTTTACACCGCTATGCGCACCTTGGCACTCGCTGGCTTACATATTAATGACACTAAAAATTTTAAACGCTCGAATTATTAAAATTCCCCCCAAAAAAAAAAAGCTAAAAAACGTTATATTTGACATACTGCAGAGCAAACACTAAACAATTTCGGAATTGTAGATCATCATTAACATCATCAGCGGTAATCTTCTTGCTGTTCAACCAAATAATTACTTGTAGCTCACCAGTACCGCTATACAGCTACATATGTATGTAGCGTATGCATATCAAATGATATTTGTAGTGGTAAAGTTGCTCGCTTATGCTACATATTTTTTCTTTTAAATGGCTATTAATTTTTGCTTGCAACGATTTTTTATGTAGTTGTTTTTTTTTTTTTTATGTGTACAACTACTCAACTGGCAACATGCTGAGCAAAGAGAGCAGCTATTTTTGAATTGTAATTGAAATTGATGACTTCGATGAGCTATATACATACATACATATATATTGGAACATTTACATATATACATATATATACATAGGTCCATATACACACATATACTTATGCACATCAAGTTCAGTTAGCGATTTTCCGCTACTCAATTTTTTCATTTAAAAAATCAGTTTCCTCTTCAAAGAGCTACCAAGCTTTTGATGCCGGTAAAGTTCCACGTACATACATACATAGCTACAAACAAACTGTACATACATACTGGTAAGCTTATGGCATTTTGCAAAAGGTATTTTGTAATTATTATTATTTTACCACTATTTTGAATTCGAGTTTGTGAATAGATTTTGACTATTAATTTTTGGTGCAAAGCCATTCACAAACGCTGTTTGCATTCATACATACATACATATACATATATGTAGTTTCTGTAGTCTTTTGCCATTAAGTATGTAGTTATGTGCTTAGGTACTTTGGTAATTGTGAGTCTTGCAATTAAAATCTTCGTGTATAAATGCGAATACGTTGACAGGTGTTGATTCAAAAACAATTTGAATTTTAAAGCAATCACAACGTGTTAAACGTTAGTAACGTTAGTTCGCCGATCAATACGTACAAAATAAAAATGTCGAAAATTGTAAGTGTGCCATGCTAAAGGAAAAAAAGGATAACAGATACAATAATTTTATAAATAAGTATTCAAAGTGTTTTTAAGAAAAGCGAATGAAGTTAATAAATATTTGCACTTTAAGTAAAAATAGAAACCAAAAATAAAGTGAATGAAACAAACTAAATACATAAAATGTTCAGCACGACTTTTGAAAACACCGAAAGAAAGCCTTCCACTGTTTTTTTTTTTTGTTGCAGCAGCCTACACGAGTTGTGTCAAAGTATCGCGAGCCTCTCGAAGCTACTCGCGACCTCTTTGTTTGCGTTGGTCTCTGGTTCAGTGGGCGGTGTATTCTCATTCCCAAGAGTGTCGGTTCTACATGCTCGAGTTTATTTTGAACTGTTGTTTTAACGATATATTCTTGTTCAGATCGGTGAACCCCATTAAGTGTAAATCTTTTTCATTACTTCATTACAAGTTTACAGTTTTTTAAATTACCTTCTGATACAAATTAGGTACAGGTTTTTCGAAATTTTCAATTTGAACGAAAAATTCAAATTCAAAAGTAGACATGTAGAATATTTTCCCAAATCTATTTAAATAAAACAAGAAATAAACTAGAAATTCAAGCACGCGCTGTTATTTTAAGAACTAAAAATTTCTTTAAAAAATTCCTAGACGCTACTAAATTTGAGGTATCGAATCAAATGTTCAAATAAAAAAAATAAAAATAAAAAACACTGAATTACATTAAAAAAAATTGATTTAAATAGTCCATTTTTATAAGGTCACTAGCAAATGCCCGGTGTGCTCTTTGTTATCCGTATTGTAATATTATTTATTTGATCAATTTAATTTAATAAATTTTTTCGAACAGTTGGCAACCCTCCTCAAAAACATTTTTGGCAGTGGCAGTGGTTATACCGCGTGCGCAAGTTCTATGTATGTATGTGTAACGACTCCACCATGGCGGCACCAAGTTCTTTAATGACTATTTTTTTTAAGTACCAAAAGTTTATGTCTAGTTTTCACTTTCAAGCGTTGCTGCCTTATCAGTATATCGACGTTCGTTAAAAAAATTTTCTTGTTTATTAAACAATACGAACACTGTTCCATTTAAATTTATCATACCTAAGCATGTAAATCTATATAATATATTCCTACTTGGACTGGTAAATTGAAGCTATCCTCTGTGATACCATTTAAGGATTAGGAGACTTAAGGAATGGGAAAAGAACGGTGACGCTTATGCATTGGTTGTAAAAATACTCTACGTACCCACAATAAAATTCCACATCTATTCCCAAAACCTCATCAGGGGTGAAAAGATGTGTGCCCAAGGTGCTTAAAGCTTGGTCTCGCGTTAACTAGACAGAAAAAGAGCAGATGCTGAGCTGATATCACTTCAACCTCTTCCATGCAAATGCTACAGTATAGACTTGAGTTGAAGTTGAGCCTTTACTTTATGGATTCCAATGGGACAAGATCATTTAAGACTCATACCAGCATCGAAAGATGCGCCTTGTTTAGCATTAAGAACTCATTGTGCCGTATTCGATCTGCTCAAGACAGACAGAAGACCCTAGCCATCCTGCATTTGAAGGTTTTTGCCAGCGCTCGCAGAGTGGACTAGACGCACATCGTTCCAGCTGCAAGCCAAATGTGGCCAATTTACACCCCACCCGTCTTTACACGGCGACAAGTGCTCAACTGTGTCCTTTTTTACTTGTTCATCGCTCCTTGCAGTCCATATGGGTTTCATAGAAAATTACTCTGATGTGCCAATTTTCGGGCATACCATTGAATTATGTTAAATATTGCCCAGTCTGACTCAACATAGGTACATATGCAATGGTCAGTTAAGGCCGGGATGAACTCGCAGTGTCCACCCCACTGCATAATTGCAAATTAATTACTCACTGCTTAGGGTGCAATCAGACGGGAAGACTAAAACGATTTATTCAATTCCTATCTGCGGGTAAATATGTATTTAAAAAAATTACTTAAAAATTCTCGGCAGTCTTTTTGGCAATAAATTCATGGAAAGCTGCTGACTGCATTTTTTATAAATAAAATTGCAAGAATCAAATAAATTATAAACATTTCTTACTGCGGTAAAAGTAGTTTACATTTCAATTAAATGACTCACGTTGAAGAAAAAAAAAACTTTTATTAAGTACTTTTTAACAAATAAAAAGTAAAAGTCGATTATAATTTCAAAAGATCGATAAATACTGTTAACACCAAAAAATGCAGTTTCTGATAATTTAGCCCCAATTCACTTTTTTGAAATGAAAAAGTTAAATTCGAAAAGTATTTTTCATGCTTAGTGTGACTACTCATGCTGTTGACCTAAATATTCTTCAGCTTCATCTGAAAGCACTTTTTTGCCACATTTGGCGCCACCATTAGGGTTACGTGACTTGCAAATAATTTATTTAATTAAGAAATTCCATCCATATACAAACTGTACATATCTCTTGCTTATCTCAAACCCCTTTCACCTTTCAGTTCGTGCTCGCCGTTGCGGCTCTCTGTGCTTCATCCATCTGCTTGAGTAACGCTTCGCCTGCTGTCAGTGAGTTATATGGTGCGCCGCACCGCGTTGTTGGCGGCGGTGGCGGTGGCGGTGGCGCTGGTAGCAGTGCCGATGCTCATGCCGAAATACGCAGCCTCACCAACGACTTGAAGGAAGATGGAAGCTACAATTATCAATTCGAGACCAGCAACGGTATTGCCGCGCAAGAATCTGGAGTAGGCGGTCACTATGCCACTGGCTCATCCCAGTACTATTCACCAGAGGGTCAATTAATTCAACTCACTTATACTGCCGATGAGAATGGTTTCCAACCACAGGGTGCTCATTTGCCCACACCACCACCGATACCAGAGGCTATACTCAAGGCATTGGAATACATTCGCACCCATCCACCACAGGAGGAACAGCAACAGTATGGCTCACAGTATGGACGTGGTAATGTAGCGGCTCCCCAACAACAATATGGTGCACCCTATCGCAAACATTAATAGCGAGAGATAATTACAAAGATTAATACGCTCACGCTTAAAAGCATAGGATTTTTTACTTGTACTTATACCTAATATTAATTTCTGATTTTTAAAGTAATTACTTATTGTAAATGTGGAGGCATTTAATGAGAGTTGTAGTTATTCCTTTGACAACATAAAAACTGGAAGCCAGTAAAATGTGATAGAATGGCTTGTTGTAGATTTGTGATTATTTCTGGTTGATTAAACTCTCATTAACGGAATGTAGAAAGAAAGAAAGCAAATAAATAACTCAAAATTTTGTAGTTATTGTAAATAAATTTTTGTATTGAATAATTCGGTCTAATGTGTATTTAATTAGTGTTTACTGCCAGATATGGGAAACAAATACTCAAAATTGATTTTAAAGCAAAGAGACGAGTGGAAAACAGTTATAAAAATAATACTTAGTACAACGATCGGTTACATGGCATTGGATTTAGCTTCGTTTTAATCCTTAATATTTCAAATGAATAACTAACCGTTGAAGAAACTAATACTGGGGTAATCAATGTGCTTTTCGCTTGGAGAGCCGCCTGGTTGACGGATATATGAACGCCGCCACAAGCTTTCATATCTCTCTTAAGCTGATGCCAGATAAAACTTTGTAGCTTTGCGTGACATTTATAACTTTGCCAGCAAAGCGCCATACGCAAAAGGTATGCCACAATGAACGCCAAGAAAACAATGTTGTACCGCTTTTTTACTCATCAAAGTTGCTGTGGATTTTAATTATTTTGATTTAAAATTATCAGCAATGTAATTAAGTTTTATGTTTTTGCATGAAAACCCGAATTTGGACGAAACAAAATAAATATTAAACCGGCTGGTTGTCAAAGCGCGCAAAAAGATGGGAGTTGGCCATCTTTTCGCTTCGCGCTGCCGCTTCAACGATTTATGTGGCATGCTACATTGCATTTTCATACAATTCATCTTTTCCGTCAAAGCGAATCTGTCACGTAAAGCGAAGCAAAAGTTTTATGTGGCATCAGCTTTAAGAATTTGAGAACAATCAGTCGCTATTGGCGCTGATCGATCTCCAAATTACAAACAGGATTTCCCCTAGTCACTTGTCAATAGACCGCCTCGTATGTGATCGTGAAGTCGACTACTAGAGGACTTTTAACGGTAATCCTTTGACGATAAGCTTCGTGTAAAACCCTAATTAAGTTCATGTCCCCGTTCCATGTGACAAAACCGTCGCCGCGGAGTGGGGCAGTGCGCCATCCAGCGTAGGGAAAACAGCGCACGCCATAGGGCAGTGTTCTCTCACTTTTTGCTTGGATTGTGGTCGTAAATAACCTGCTTGGGAAGCTGGTGTATAGAGTCCTCCGGTTGATTGCATATGCGGCAGATGTTGCACTGTTAGTAGGGGCTAAGTTTGCTGTTTCGAGTACCTTGTATGATTTAATGCAAAGGCCTTTGAAACCGAATGGACTCGCTTTAAATCCTTTTTTTCTCCACTTACATTCCTTTTAAGGATGAATGATCGGGAGGTAGAAGTTTGAAGGAGGCACCCGTTAACCTCTACGCGGTTAAGTCGAAGCTTGACCGAAGGGTTGGTGGAGGGGTCTATAGCAGCTCTCTATCAAACTTCATTTTACGGTTCTAGATTGTTATTAAGGAAGCAGTCGATTGGCTGCTCACTTGCTGGATATCTAAGTATTGAGCATACTATGAAAGCTAAGCTGTAATCCGGGCTTACACATGGTGCGCTCAAACTTAATAGGGAAATAGCTGACCTTTCTTTTGTTTACTTCTGACATTATCCAAGTCGCTAGTTGATATACATACCAGACCATAGTGATGTGGAAAGAAACTGTGCTGAGGGTTGGTTAATCAGGAAATGCAGCCTCCAGTCGGTCGTACCAAGAAATGAGGAAGCAGGAGTATCTCTGACTACACTCGGACCACACACTCTTATAAAGATGGGCTTTAGTCAGCTGAGCGAAGGCCAGGGCATATGCAATTGCACGGTCACTCTGATGCAAGGTGGTTCACAAGGCCGTAACACTCAGTTTTAGTAGTTGTATTGACACGGCAATATCCGAAGCTTTTTTAAGCGATGAGGCGAAATATCATACTTCATCTTCACTGCTACAGCTGGGATGTAGTCATATCAAAGTCTTTCGCTATGTAAATCGAGCTCAAACATAATTCTTGCTCATAATTCAGAGACTTAATGCAAAATTTAGTAAGCAAGTAAAAAATTTAGGTAAAATCTCTACCCTCCTTCCATTACGGGTCTTTGAGACCCTTACTTTAATTTTCGTTATACCCCTAAGGTATAGCCCCAATAATAGAAAATTGGATCTGAGTTCGCTTTTACATAAATGTATGTAACCATTTTATTTAAATTAAACGGCGCGCATTTTAAATGCAAATGCGATTCTTTTTAACACGATAGAATGCCACAGCTTTATTTTGTAACTCATAAATGAGTTCCTCGTTCATTGAAACATTAAATGATTAATTTTTTGCTTTAATGCTAATATTAACCTGACACTTTCAAATATTCGGTTGGCATCCAAAAGTTTTAAAATGTTCATTAATTTTGGAATTTTTATGATTATGCACATCAAAGCCATCGCCTGTAAAATTAGCTCGAATGAAATTTCTGGCTGAAAGTCAATTACCTGTGTTTACACGTATGCACATATTACTGAAATATTTATAAATGTATCAGGAAGCGAAATATCTATAGATATATATAATACGGGAAGGGATTTTTTGTCCAGGTCATCAGATGTGCACCGTTCGTTCGATTTTAAAAAATGAGGTGTCAAATTATAGGACTTGGGCTGTAGATGTGCAATAAGGTTTTGCTTTTTCGAAACGAGTTGCCATCTTATAAAAAATTGAATTTCAATTATTGAAAAAGTTAAATCAATTAGTAAAATCTGTGTATCAATGGAAATCGTTTTGAAAAGGTTTAATTTTTTACGGCATGTAAGGGGGTTGCCACCTGGTTAAAATGTCAAATTCAATTCCAATTAAGGAAAATAGATAAGTGAAATATTCATAACCGTATGGGTGTCGGACGACAGAGGTTTAAGGAGGTTTTAATTTGGAAAAATTTTGAAGGGGGTTGCCACCTGTTTTAAAAGTCAAATTTAGTTAACTTATACGCAATGAAGTATTAAAATATAAGCATATTTTTGAGTTGTTTAAACAGGGTTACCACTCGTTTAAACATGTTAATTCAAATTATTTAATAAATTAAATTTGTTTTTTAAATATTGGTATCAATTGAAATGGGTTTGAAAAGGCTTTATTTCTGAACTTTATTTAGGGGGGTTGCCACGTGTTTAAAAAATTAAATTCACAATGCCAGCTAAAGAATATTAATGAATGCTTTTATCTTAAAACTACTTTTAGAGAGGGTTGCCATCTGTTTGAGAAGTTGAGTTTAATTAACTTATACACAGGTTTTATGAAAGATTAAATTACGGATGTCAAGCGAAAGTGGGTTGAGAAACCATTAGTTTGGACATTTGGAATGTTTGAATAGGGTTGCCAGGCGTTTAAAAAATGACATTCAAATTACTTATTAATTTATTATATTATTAATTAATTTGAAAAGTCGAATTTAGTTAATTTTTACAGACGTTTTATGAAATATTAAAATATAAGTGTCAAAAAAAGATTTATGAAAGCTTTTGTTAGAAAATAGCTTTGACTAAGCTTGCCACCTTTTCGAAAAGTCATATCGATTTAGCTAAGTACTATACATACTATACGAGAACGCATTTATGTGATGATCATTAGGTTTGTGAAATTACAGGACGATTTGAATTTTGATGAAATTAAAAACGGACAATATGCGCGACCTCTCTTCACGCACAAACGGGCACGGATTTAGATAAAATATGGTACTCGGATCGCCTATAATTCTGACTAAAATTTGGAATAGTTTTGAAGTTTTTGAAATTCAATACATAGACGCCATATTATACATACATATGCGCTATATTAAAACACCCCCCGTGGGTCCGCCACTGACTGACACGTAGTTTAATCCCCAAAACCCCCCGCTGGATCCACCACTGCATTAAGTAGTTGCTCAAATACTTCAAAACAAATTGCAAAACGCCAGTCGTGGCTTAATTTGTGTTTAAATATAAAGTCCTTAGACTTCTCAGAACCCTAGGGCACAGCCTTTCCCCATCCTACTCTTAGAATTTTTAAATTCAAATCGATCTTATTGCAAATTAAGCTAGCTCTTCGCGAGTGTTTGTTTGCCAAGAAGTCTGTATCATTAAATACAGGCGATTATGTCTTCCCTTAATCGTAAACCTAACTAAATGAAGAATGTTTTACTCATAATATATCGTTAATATTTCTAATCAGAAGTAAATTTAATATCAGTAAAGGTGAAAGAGAACCCTTCAACTTATAAAGTACTATTTCTCAAGGAACGACAATTTGTCCCGGAGTTAAGTATAGATTACCTTTGATTGTCTACCAAGTGAGTGGGTGTCAGTCTCTTTGCGTCTTCAACAACAGATTACGCGAGAAAACGGTGGATGAAACTGTGCCCAATCGTTCGAATCGATGCATTATAGTCAAACCTAGCCGATGCTGTTCATCAGTAAATCGCGTAAATTTCTGCAGATATTAATACTTACATATGTACTAGGTAGAGTTACAAGGAACTTCAACGAACGCTTTCCAATGTGCATCGCACATTTCAATTGTCAAATCAATTAATAATGGCAAATACAGTATTCCCCGATTAATTGACCCCCGGCCAATTGGTTTTCTCGCATAATTGGTTAAAAATAAATGCTACCGAAAAGAGATATACCTTCACATTTCCCCTAAATTAATTCTCAGCTTAATTGAACAACAAATTTTGCAATTTTTGATGTGAAATTAACCAAAGCCCATATTTATCAACCGTCTTATGTCTGCATAAGTAGATATTCATTTATTTATGTATTTATGCTTCTGAAAACTCATGCTCAATCACAGCTAAAACTCAATTAAGAGTATTAGTATTTAAAAAATTGCATTCAGTTTTTAAATATTGCATTGATTTTCGTAATTCCCGCATGTACGTCACTTGTCGGCTTTGTAGCTAGCTGCGCCAAAGAGGCTGTCCCGTTGCAGACCATCACTTTCATGACGTTAATACGCTTGCCCAAGAGAGTAAGTGGAGACATACACACAAGAGTACGTACAACAAATTAGCATACCGGTAAATGAAAATCACAAAAAAAAATGACTAAAATATGT